AATGGAGAATGGGTTATATTATGCTTATTAAAGCATCTTGCATCTTCTTTGATTATAGGAACCTTCCTACCATTTATCATCTCAAAGCCACATTTATTTTATTACTGGCATCTTTTAATTTTTGATCTTTGAAAGGAGACTGGATTAGATTATACTAATCAAAGCATTTTGCATCTTCTTCAATTGTAGGATCTTTCCTACTATTTATCATCACAAAGCCACATTTGTATTTAGGATTAATGCCGAGGTAATGAGAATCTCCAGCAAGGATCAGAGACTCATAATAATCAATTTCTTTACTGATTATGTATTGTGGATGTGGATAATCGCTGTATGGCAAAATTTTGCACCATTCGGTGAAATATAAATAGCATTTAGAATTTAGATTCAATTTTTACTATGGCTGTGCACTTTAATCCAATTTGTTGTTTCTGCTTTGAAATACTAATACCTATCATCTGATTCTATTTCTAGTGGATTAAGATTGACATTTTTCTGATTCTGATAGCAATTCCAGCTTTTAATTCAATCACAAAATTTGATATGATTACAGCAAGTTCAATTATCTGGTTAGTTAGATGACTGATAAGCATCTTGCATCTTCTTCAATTGTAGAATCCTTTCTGCCATTTATCAGCTCCAAGCCACATTTGTCTTTAAGATAAATGCCGAGATAATGAGAAAATCACGTTAAAATCTCCTGCAAGCATCGGAGACTCATAATAATCAATTTCTTCACTGTTTACATCTTGTGGATGTGGATAGAGGCTGTATGGCAAAATTTTGCACAATTTGATAATATATTCAGAATCAATTTCAGAAATTTGGTAATAGCACTCTGAATCAATTTCTTTTAATCAATTTTTATTGTGGTTGTTTGTATATATATAGCTGTGAACTTTAATCCAGTTTTTTGTCGATCATCTAATTCTATTTCTAGTGGATTAACACTGACATTTTTCTGATTTTGATAGCAATTCCATCAGGCAGTTACAGCAGGTTCTAGTTAATTAGTTCACTGATATTTATCAAATAAATCAATGACAAAATTAAAGCATTTTGCATCTTTTTCGATTGTAGGATTTTTTCTACTATTTGTCAGCTCCAAGCCACATTTGTCTTTAAGAGTAATGCCGAAGTAATGAGAAATTCACCTCAGAATCTCTTGCAAGAATCAGAGTCTCATAATAATCAATTACTTCACTTCACTTCAATTCTTGTGGATGTGGATAGTGGCTGTATGGCAAGAATTTGCACCATTCGGTGAAATATAAATAGCATTTAGAATTTAGATTCAATTTTTACTATGGCTGTGCACTTTAATCCAATTTGTTGTTTTTGCTTTGAAATACTAATACCGATCATCTGATTCTATTTTTACTGGATTACCATTGGCATTTTTCGGGTTTTGATAGCAATTCCAGCATTCTGGTTTTGTTATGTTGAAATCTTGCCGTGATATTCAAATTTGATATGATTAGCAGGTTCGATTTTCTAGTTAGTTGAATAATATTTATCAAACAAATCAATGACTAAACTAAAGCATCTTGCATCTTCTTCGATTGTAGCATCCTTCCTACCATTTATCATCTCCAAGCATAGAACTCTTTTACAAGCTTAGAATCTCCTGCATTTGGTCAATTGGTCTCCATCTAAATGGATATTTTGTAAACACGTCACCTGACTCTCTACAAAATTGGTAGATGTGATTGTTCTCCCGGTGAATCAAATAAACAAAACACTCTTGGTTTCCATTTAAATGACTATTTTGTAAGCACTTCACCTGACTTTCTGCAAAATTGGTTGATGTGACTGTTATACTGGTAGATCAAATAAACAAAACACTCTTGGTTTACATTTAAATGACTATTTTGTAAGCACTTCACTTGACTTCCTACAAAATTGGTTGATGTGACTGGTAAATCATAATAAATGGAATTGGTTCATCTGGTGAATCATATAAAATAAACACTCTTATTCTCCATTTAAATGACTATTTTGTAAGCACTTCACTTGACTTTCTACAAAATTGGTTGATGTGACGTTTCTCCTGGTAAATCCAATAAATAAAACACTCTTGGTCTCCATTTAAATGGCTATTTTAAAAGCACTTTACTTGACCTCCTACAAAATTGGTTGATGTGACTGATATCCTGGTAAATTAAATAAACAAAACACTCTTGGTTTCCGATTAAATGACTATTTTGTAAGCATTTCACTTGACTTCCTACAAAGTTGGTAGATGCGACTGTTTTCCCGGTGAATCAAATAAACAATACACTCTTGGTCTCTATTTAAATGATTATTTTAGAAGCACTTTACTTGACTTCCTACAAAATTGGTTGATGTGACTGTTAAATGTTGACCGTGTCCTGGTAAATCAAATAATCTAAACACTCTTGGTCTCCAATTTAAATGACTATTTTGTAAGCACTTCACTTGACTTCCTACAAAATTGGTTGATGTGACTGTTCTCCTGGTAAATCCAATAAATAAAACACTCTTGGTCTCCATTTAAATGGCTATTTTAGAAGCACTTTACTTGACCTCCTACAAAATTGGTTGATGTGACTGATTCCTGGTAAATCAAATAAACAAAACACTCTTGGTTTCCATTTAAATGACTATTTTGTAAGCACTTCACTTGACTT